TCATGTCATCATCCATGTAAGCATCTGAAAGCATGCTGAAATAATTAGGGAAGGAAAGGAAAAGAATGCCAACCACCATTTCTTAAACAATGCAAACAAAAAGCCCTACAGAGATCTGTCAGGGCACCTGTTCCAGGAGTTCTGAGGGGTCATCTGAGATGCCAACCATCTGAGAGGTCCCCAGGTGTGTGATGGTAGGATCTGCTGTCAGGGCATCCCTTGGGCACTGGAGCAGCCACAGCCCTGGGGTGAGGCTGGCGCTGGCCAGGCATGGTGGGAGCTGTGGCTCACGTCAGGGCCAACAGCAGAGGCTCATCTTAAAAGCAGCTCCCACAAAAAGGGGCTGTGGCTTCCCCAGCATCCCCAGCCACAGAAGGAAAGGGATGTTTTCATATTTCCAAAAATTTCCATGTTTCCTCCATGATGGGGAAATGCACTCAGAGCCCCAACAAGTACAGAAGTTTGAGAAATGCCTCAGTCTTCTGCTGAGAATGGATGCTTCTGCCTATATAGGGATGTATCAGTGTTGAGCAATACTGGGTTGGATAGGAAACTAGGTATGCATTTCCAAAAATGCAAGAGAGCAGTGTGAAAATAAAGATTTTCATTGGACAAGTGATTTCTGCCTGCATGAGATTTGAATTAGTTGACATAACTGTAAAATCTTCCACCACAGGATGAGTGTGTGTGCTCATAACAAAAATCAGGCACGCTCAGTGAACCAGCAAATAATCCACTGTCACTAGCAGGGCTATTAACCATCTGCAGGGATCTTTTAGTATAATAAAGCTGGACATGGAAATGTGGCAAACTGCCTTATTACTCGGAAGTGCATGTTGCATTAAACATGCAAAATTTATTTAAAATTAAACATCTTCTTAGAGACAAAATACCTCATTTTTGTTTACAGGTGATCTCCACCAATCTGAGTGTCACTGTGAAAGGGGTATACATGTGGTATTCAGCAAATAGAATGATGTGCCTGTATTATTATCTAAGTAGATTTAACTTTCTACTGTCTCATTAGTATTTTGTTTTGAATGTAATACACTGGCAATTACTCCCTTTGCTCCCTTATTAATATTTTAGGACTGTATCATCATGTCTTCCTCAGAGGTACAGGAAGCAGCCAAAAGGAAGAAACTCATTATTGAGCTGTTTTGTTCCTCTATTTATGGTACAGGTCAATGTGTTACGGAAATCTTTTGAGAAAAAAAAGAAGAGCAGTGTTTGGCTTTTCAGCATGTGGTAACACAGTGCTTCCATTCCTATAATCCCCTGAGTAGTTTGTTACCTGTACACCTTATTCCAGTGTAACCTCTTCTGTATCAAGATGAATACTTTATGCAAATAAAGATTTGCATAAAGTATTCATCTTGATATACAATTAAAACAAACAAACAAAAAAACCACAAAAACCAAACAACAACCAAATAATACCCCCTATTCTGTTTATTCCCTGAACATTTCTCCCCCATTCATTCAAATACCTTCCTCATTTTTTTTTTTTGTTCCTGGATGTTCAACCTACAGCTGATTCTCCTCAGGTAAAAGAATTGGTATGAGCTTCCATTATTTTATTTGGAGGAAAATATTGCACAGTGCTGAGCCAGTGTTGTGGAGAAAAGAATGTACCTGCTCCCTCAGGGGTTGTACGTCTCCTGCCTGTTCCATTGCCTGCTGGAAATGCAATTCATTTCACTGTCCCACAGTCTTATTATTACTTCAGTGTTATTTTTATCCATATCACTGTTCCTTATTATTTGTCTTGTTATAATACCTAGATACTTCTGCCAAGATCAAGACTGTACAAATGTGGCCTGAATCTGCCACATTTTCTGCCAGTAAAATGTCGCATATTGAAGTGGAAGAGGTAGGAACAAGAAAACAGAAAGTGAACATTATTGTTTCAGTTTTATGTAGAGAAAAAACCAATCTAAGGGAGATGTTCCTGCATCTGGGAGTCTAAAGCTGGTCTGAATGTGTGTCCCACTGTTCCCAAAAGAGACAGCAGAAGTGACAGCCACAGTCCTCTGGAGGCTGTTGGACACGGCACGTCTGGGAGTGCAAAGAGCTGCCTGTCTTTAGGCAACCAGATCCTCCGTTCAGCCCACTTGAGATCACTTGCTCAAGGTTCTTCAAGAAATCTATAGCAAAATGTGCTTCAATATAAATCCCGTAAGTTCTAGTGTTAATCACAAATTAATTATTCCTGGTTTCAGCTTCTCTTTTTTTTTACTTTCTCCCAACCACCTACACTACTGCTGTTATGAAGTGAATTATCCTTTCTTGCTTTAAATTTTTCTTCTTTCTGTTTCAATCTTTGATTTTGGCTCCGGTCCTCCTCTCTTGCTCAGCAGAAGGCTGAACGCTGCTTTGGTTGGAGGCTGTGTTACAGAATGTTCTCCACCCCTTCTGCTCTTTTGTTGGCATCTCCTCCCACCCTCAGCATGCCAAACAACTCCAATGCTCTCTGAAGCACAGGGATCGATAGCCTTTGTAATTCTGTTTTAGCCAGTGTGCTAGTAGCTGTTGGTAGACAGGCAAATAGGTGATGTATTAAAAACTCATGTCTGTGAAATACCCACTCACAATCAGCTCTCCAAGATAATTACATATGTGTGAAAAAAAAATTATTCTGATTCATGTCAGATGTATTTCCTTTTAAGAGTCATGTTATACATTTATTTCAGGCAAGATTAGGTAGAAAAGTCTGACCTTCTTAAAGCACTTTATTATTCTCTACAGTCGCATTTTTCTTTCTTTTTCTGTCACAAAGAAGTCATTCCATTTCTGTGTTGACATTTTTATCTTCTTTTTATAGCCTTTCCAAAAGCCATGTCACTTGCTGAACTTTTGCTGACAAACAAAAGGAAGAGAAAGAAAAATGTCATAAACCTCCACATACAGCAAATGGCAAGGGCATGCTGTATTACTCAGATATGGTTGAGTAACTTTTTAGCATTCATTTCTCATTTTACTCCTTTAGTTCCACTGTCTTCTCCTTCTGGTTTTGCTTTAATTCTCTTCTATCCAGTATTTTTGATTCATCTGTTTGTTCTGACACTTCCTTTTTTTTCCCCCATCATTTTTTGTGATTACCACTTCCTTCTTTAGAATTAATCTATTTGATTAGTTCTGTCTTCACTTTTGCTTAGCCTCTCTGCCAACTCCTTCAGGTATTACATTGCTATGAAAAAAATTATATGTAGAGAATTTCCTAACTCCACAGCATCTGCGGCTCACTAAAATGTCTCTGTCAATGTGCCATTATTTTTGGCTTTACATTATCAAATCTGGACAAATCCATGTTATTTACCTACTTAACAACCACCTTGTGAACAAATGTAATTTTAGGATTGAAGCATCTTGCTCTAACGCCAAGCTAAATGGCCACCACTGACTTGGCTGATGTAGAGCTGCCAGAAAAAGAGAGTTTCATGAGAATCAGAATTAGTGGCTGATGAGAAAAGTTATAATGATACTTCTTGAGAAGTCAACCTCTGCATATGCATTTTTTAGAGCAATACTGTAAATAGCATTGTTGTTTTTTGTCCTTAATATATCTGTTGCATGGCCTCCATAATAGATGCAGACTCTAGGGGGACTGAAATTGCTTTAACAGCACTTTGCCCCAACTGGTTTGAATGTCACTCTCCTGCAATATGGGTCTGATGCTTTTCTGCCAACAGCACATTGCTGAGCTTGTCTCCAGCCAGGCCGAAAGGTTGGACCAGGTGTTTGGAATATACTCTGCAAGCCTCTCTGAAGAGCTCGAGAGCCACACGATGCCGTGAGATCGTGGGCTGAGGAGTGCTGCTTTGGTTCTGTGTGCTGCTTCAGTCTTCTGATAAAATATCTACACCAAGAAAGCCACTACGATCACAACACAGCCAGTGAAGGCACTGGCTGAGCTCATCAGGTACTCCCTCGTCTTGAGACTACAGATAAGTGGCCAATGAGGAAGGCGTGTGATTTCATCACTCTTTGGATCTAAATGTGGCTATGGAAAAGCATATGGCTTGGCAATTGTTTTTGGTTTGTTTTTTTTTTTTTTTTTTTAGGTTTTATTTCTCTCTCCTTCCCTGCACAGACAGTTGCTGTCATCTTCACGAGATCAAATGTGCACTGGTGTCATACTTGATGCTGAAATTCACACCTACTTTCTTTCAGCAGCCCCAGCCAAACTTTAAAGAATTTCCAACTGCTGAGGATTTTTTTAGAAGGTATTTGATCATTATGCTTTTAGCAGATTTAATTTTGAAAATGAGGTGATGTAATGAATTAAAGGAAAAAATAAAAGGCAGCCACAGAAGACTGGGAGAGCTACTGTTTCACACCTAAAGAACAACTGTTGAATATTCGTTCTGCAGCTTCCTGCAGCCAAAACCCCGATAAAGTAGAAGGATCCGTAGGTGTCCCCTGAAGGGCCGCATCCCCCGGCGCTGGCGCCCGTGGTTAAGGAGCCCCCTGGGCACAGGGCGCCGGGAGTGGGGCCAGGAGGTGGCCCCGAAGGGCAGGCCAGGGAAGGGAAGGCAGTGCCCGCGGGGCGGAGCAGGGGCCGCGGCCGCCGGGGTGCGGGGGAAGCCGGTGCTGAGGGCAGGAACGCCGGGGGCGAGCGGGAGAGCAGGCAGGGATTTTCGTCCCGGAAAGGGGCAGGGATTCCGCCCGGCTGGGCAGGCGCCAGGGCGCTGGCGACGGCGGCGGCTTTCCCGGAGCGGTGCGGGGGCGGCGGTGCCCGGCGCCGGACCCTCGCCTCCCTCTCTCCCTCGCTCCGTCCCTCCCTCGCTCCGTCCCCCCGCGCGTGCCGCCCGCCCCGCCCCGCCCCGCCGCCCGCGGCCCCGCGCGCCGCTCCTCGCAGAGCGCCGGGCCGTGAGGGAGCGGCCGCGCCCGCCCGCCGGGTCACCTTCCCGGCCGCCGGCAGCCCCGAGCCGCCCCCGAGCCGCCGCCATCCGCCGCTGCGGGCCGTCCCCGCCCCGGGGGAGCGGGTGCCCCGGGGCATGAGCTGCGCCTCCGGGAGCGTCGTGCTCCCTGCCGGAGAGCCGCCTCGAGCCGCCGCCGCCCCGCTGGAGCTGCCGGCCGGGGCGGGGGAGGCGAGCGGGGACACCCCCGAGGAGGGCGAGGGCCGGAGGGGCGGCTCGGAGAGCGGGGCCGCCGGCGGCGACAAGCCCGAGACGCGCTCGGTGTGCAGCAGCAGCGAGAGCGGCAGCGGCGGCCACGGCGGCGGGGCCGGCCCCATCTGCAAGATCTGCTTCCAGGGCCCCGAGCAGGTGAGCACAGGCGCCGGGGGCGGGCGGGCGGCTCCCGCGCACCGCCGCACCCTCGGCTCGGGGTCGAGCCCTGTCCCTGGTGCTGATCTCGGCGGCGCTCCCCGGACGGAATCGCCCTCCCCGGCTGCCGCTGTGCGGACTGGTTGGGGCAAAAGCCTCGGGCGAACCTGAGCCGGCGCAAAGCTTTGGGAGAATTCAGGAATTTTGCCGTGTCTGGCTCGCACGCGGGGTGTCCTCTGGCGCTCCCGCTCCCAGGTTCACCTCTGAGGGACTCTACACAGTACGAATTTCTCAGGTTTCTGTTAGACTTTAAAATGAGAGTGTTAGTTTACAGGTAATGCTGAGAAGACCTCCAAGTATCATCTCTGTCGTGACGTTATTGGGCATAATATCAGCAATGGATCTGTAACTAGAATTTTATAGCTTGTCTTGGAGTTGGAAAGAAGAGAATAGCTGATTTATATAACACAGAAACTCTGGGGGAAGTGCTTACTTACATTATTTAAGGTCCTGTCTGACAGCTGGCTAGCTGGACAGCACAGAGCCATGCTCCAAGAGTAAGGCTGTCTTGGAATTGTGACATCACACATTTCTTTCTGAATGGTGATTTCAAATAGCTGTTGTAGAAATGTATCAAACCACTTTTGATACATTTTGAGGTATTTGAAAGGGCTAATGGTACTGTTGTTTAATGCAAGATAATATTTCAGTTGTTTCACACAGGTAGATGAACATGTGTAGACAGCTTTCTGGCTTTTCTCAGAAGAAGCAGCTAGGTATTTTTAAGACAATTACATTTTTGAGTATTTCATAGCCAAAAATACATGCTTTTACAGATAGTGAGATAGAGACCAGGTCATTGTTACAGACCCCTAAAGATTTTGGTATTGAGTGTACATGTATGTGAAAGGTTCCTTTAAAGTTGATGTTTCTGTATTGCCTTTCCAGGGTGAATTGTTAAACCCTTGCCGCTGTGATGGCTCGGTACGATACACGCATCAGCTTTGCCTCTTAAAGTGGATAAGTGAAAGAGGGTCATGGACCTGTGAACTCTGCTGTTACAGATACCATGTTATAGCCATTAAAATGAAAAAGCCTTGTCAGGTAATTTGTTCTTTTAAAAAAAAAGTATGTCTTTTCAGTCTTTTTTTTTTAAACAAAATTATTCTTACTTTTACTTCCAAGGTTTTTGGAAAATGTAGCAGAAGATCCTATATGCCTAACCAGCTAGCACTTGCACCCACTTGAAGTTGGTTTTTAAGACCAGTTACATCTTAAAATGTGTAGTGATTTGGTTCTGTTATGTTCTTCTAGTTTTTGATTTGCTGTAAAAATGGTTTTTAGAGGTTGGTAAATTCTGTAAGTAGTTAAATCATGCTGAGATGTGACAGAAAACTTGGATTTCCCAGATTAACTTCTTAAACTTTAAAAATGTCTTTATTGTTTGTTCAAGACTCACTCAAAGGTTGATTTTGTTCTTTCTTCAACTTGGGATCCAGAGGGGAGAGGTGAAGAAAGCTTCTGTTGTCTGTGTATTCATCTACTGTAGAAATGTAAAAGGAGGGGACTTTTCAGTCTTGGCACAATTCAGAGCAGTAGAACACTCTTAAAGTTCTGTCCACCAGAAGCTGTTTCAGAAGCTGAAATGTGCAGTAGCATTTTCCAGAGCTCCATTTCAGCAGCATCAGAACATGAGATGGAAGTTAGAGCATTGTAGTGGTAGCGTGTTCAGGGAGAGGTGGGGGGAGAAACTCAAAGCTCCACCAGATCTCTTAGGGAAGCCTTAATACCACTTTGCATATCAGAATTCTTTAGGGACTTTAAATTCCATCTTGGAAATTATATTTTATAACATCTGAGGAACACATTTAGTAAGATAATTGTATCTTTTTTTTAGTTTTGATCCTAAGAGCTCAGAGATGATGGAGCTCTCAAAGGCCAGAGCACACGGGTCATTTTTCTGTGCCTGTGTTTGATTGGAGTTTTATAGAAAAGGCATGGTTGGGTGGTAATGGCAGTTGTGTGAACGTGATAAGCATTCCTTGGATGCAGAATATCTGGAGTACTTGCTTACAGCTGTTCAGATTATGGGCAAGTACTTTCAGAGCCAGTGGAGTTCAATTTTTTTCCTTTATAAATTCTCAAAGGAAAGGTTTTGGTAAGCTTTCCTGGATAGAATCTTTATGATGTTAAAAAGTAAATGATTTCTAAAACATTCCAGAAAATGAAGGTGGTAGATTCTGTTTCTACACAGGCATGGTTTGGCACGGGGTTTAATACTTTTGGCTTTTTTTAAACTTTTAAAAAGTCTTTATTTCTTGCATCTCCACAGCAATCTCATCCTTTTCCTAGCAAAGATTACTATAGCAATAGTTTGCAATTATAGTATCTGAAAATTGTTAGACAGCAAAGACATGACACAGTTGCCTGCAAAGAGGTATCTAGTACTATTTGAGATGTCCTAAGGTAGTCAAAATGTGTAACAGAATAGCAGATATGACAGAACTTGTGAGGGACTCTGGAACTGCAGATGGAGGCCAAGTGAATATTAAAGAACATTTGAAAAGTCATTAGACACCTATCTGTGGACAGCAGAATCAAGCCCAAGTTTGAAGAACAACTGTGTAAAAGAGAAGCGAAGAAGAGTCAGTAGATGATGCAGTAGGCAACAAAGTTTGGCCAAGCTTACAAGGGAAGTAAAAAGAAACTAAAGAGACAAAAGTTAAATGCCACTCATTGCATTAGTTGTCACCGTTTTCTTCTTATTTTTTTTGGGGGGCGGGCAGGAGGGAATGAAACCAGATTCATGTTTCTCATTAAATAGCTTAATTCTTTATTTATTCTTCACCCTGTCTTTCATTATTTAGGTAAGTTATTTAAGTCTGTCCTTTCTTTCAAGACAAAATAGCATACAGAAAGATTTCATGGAGTTGCCACTCAAATAATAAGTTGGACATACAATCCTGAGGTCAAATTCCTGATACCCAAAAGATCACCCATCTCTTTGAGGAAACACAGTAGTACCTTTCTCAGTCTCCTACACAGAATATTTGTCTTGTAGTAACAGAACCTGAAAGGAAGTCTCAAACTGCAGTCATCTGTGTAATTTTATAAGGGGAATCAGTCTTAAAATGCGCTTACTCCCCATACTCTTGACTGTAATAATATTTGCTGCTTTTAGCCACTGGCTTGGCTTAAACTTTTGGACAGGTTCTGAGTCGTTTTCTACGCTACACAAATGCTCGTTTTAAGGTAACTTTTTGGTTAGTTTTAGCAAAAAGCTAAGGGTAAGACCATTTCAATACGGAAGGATTTTAAAACATCGTCAGCTGAAGTAGTGAATGTACTTAAAAGTTCCCAAAAAGTTCAGGACTTCTTGCATTACATTAGATACAGTATTTGGACAGGAGTAGTTTACTCTGTCAACAACCACTAGTCCGCCTCAGTCCATCTTCCCAGAATTGTCTCTACCGGTCTTTTACTTATTAGAACTTTGTGGGCAGTGTCATAGGAGAGGAAACTGGTGCTATTAACAAAAAATGCTTTTTCTCAGGTGAATGCAGATTTGTGCCAGGTCTATGCAAGCCTGGTCTATTTACTCTCAGGTCTGTGCAGATCTACAACAGCTCTTCAGGTTTGCTTTCACCTCGTGTATTTAAGGAATGTAACAAAGTGTAGAGACTTAAGAAAGATTTTCCTTTGTTTTCGTTCAGAATATTGGAATAGATGTGAATATTCCATTTAATATCTAACATGTTCTGTGGTTTCCATTGCTTCATGGAAGGCAAAGTTATCTCCAAGGGGTGCATCTCCTGGGGCAGGACATTCAAGAAACAGAATATTTCTATTTTGATAGAAATTCTTCCACTGTCAGTGTTCCAGTTACAGATTCAGCAGCCACTACATAATTCACCTTTAAGAATCTAATCCTGGAAACACATAGATTTTATTATGGGAATAAACCTTAAAACATAAACAAAACCCAAATTAACCCATGGGCTAGCAGTGGAAGATGAGCACACAAACAAGTTGATGACATTTGATATGATATATAACAGAGATTTGGAATTTTTTCAGTATCCCTCTTAGGATCATATCAGAAAGACGTATCTTGTACTAGTCCAATTATGAAAACACGCGTTCATGTTGCTGGACTTGCTCCATTGGCGGGGTGGAATTTGATCCAGTAATAGGCTGGGCTATGTTAATAACTAGGAAATTCCCTTACTGCCCCTCAAACTATAATGAGGGGAGCTGGAATAAAAACTGCTTTGGGCAGGGAGTTTTGGAAGTACTTAAAAAGGAGAGAGAAACTTCAAATGTGTGACTTGGAAATTAAACTAATTTAGAATTATAATTGAGATTAACAAAAAAAGAAAAAAAGTGCAAAAATAAATATTTTTATTAGTTCATTATAAGGTTATAATTTGTACAGATTTCCTTCCTAAAGGAAATATATTCCTAAAAGAAGTGTAAACACATTGTTTTATTTTTATTGGTGCTATGTAATTTTTATGCTGTCAGGAGATTAGTTCACTAGACTTGCACTTAAGTATGAATGTGTATTGAAGAATATCAGTGCTCTTGTAAGATTGAGAATTAATGTTTAAAAGTGGAATAGAATAATGCAAAGGTTGAGAATATATACTTTGGTACTAAAACCTGTCACTTCTATAAGTGAGTAGTAAAGATATTTAGAGAGTAGCCTTTTCCAGACTGTTAGTGTAGTCTGTCATAAAATGGTGTTACATTAGGTGTTTGATAAATCCTGTTCATTAAAACATTATATTCTGGTACTTTGGTGAAATGGGCCTATTCCAAAAGTAATACAGTAGATGGATGTGCTAATTTAAAACCTAATTGTGTGGCAGTTCAACACCTTTTCTGATATACCAGTAAAATCACAACACTTATTTAAATAAGTAAATGCTTACTTGTTAGATCTGATTTCTTAAAATAGAAAAAAATTAAAGTGGTACCTTTTCAAAAGGTGAGGTTTCACTTTTGCAAATTTTGTTAATGTGCGTCATCCTCGCTCATTTGAGAAAGCTCACTGGCATCAACTAGATAAGCATGAGCAAAACTGCATAACAGACTGCAAGTATGTGAATATGTGTTACACTAAAAAGTGCAAAAGTCATGTTCTTCAGCTACTTCAGTATGGAGGTCAGTGTCCAGACAAAATTGTAGAGTAAATGTTTAGTAAAAGTTTTTGCTAATGACTATGCTTGGCTGGATGACAGCATTAAGTTCTTCTAGGCATAACTAAAAAGGGGAAAGGGGAAAGGCTGAAATCTTCAATTACGCATTCTAAACTGCGCAATGTACTAAGGACAATCTATTAATGTCTCTTCCTGTACTGAAGATCCAGAAGAATACATTGTGCTATTCCATATGTCAGTGGACAAAAAAGAACAAAAAGGATTGTTCCAATATTGGACAATTTACAAAGAAGTTTGAAAAAGAGATAAGGAACAAATCTGTGGTACACTAGCCCTGGTACTGAGACCCGTGGTACACTAGCCATTTCTAACTATAGTTCAGTTTGTGGCATCTCAAATGGAATGTATTTTAAGAGGCCTCTTAAAAAGAAAATAATGAAGCTTTGCAAGCACCCTTTGAATATGAAGGCACTATGCAAGGGCTGTTGGAAAATGAAATACTTGGCTGAGACAGGTGTTACGAACTAAATGGAAATGAGATTCAATGCCTGAGTAGTCATTAGAAGGTAATTAATACATCAATAAATGCCTGGAAGGACTTAAAAAAATCAAATAAAGTCTTTTTAATTTCATGTAATGGAGAAGAGAATCCATCATAGTGGAGAAAGTAGGCCAGTAACATGGTCAAAGTAGTGGAATAAAAGGAATTGTACTTGAAGCAGTTTTGTCCTTGCTGAGAAAATTACTTTTGTCATGAGCTTAAAATATGTGTTATGGTAATTAAGACATAAGACAAAAGTGATGATGAGAAATTATCTTTTACATATGAATAGACTTAGATGTGCTACATAGAAAGCACATGCAAGCTTTAGAAATATTGAGAACAGGAGGATCCAAATATATATTTAAATTTAAGATAATTCCTGATGAATTAAGGATCAT